CACACAGCCCCTCCTCTCTGGCGGGCTCCAGTTGTGATTCCTCTCGGGTCTCCTGGGCACCACTTCATTTTCTTCTGCTCGGTCCAGCACTGAGCCACCTCCTCCCACTTCAAAAGCGGATTGTGCCAGGAAAGCTCATTAGGTGAGTCAGCCTAGGAGACGGATCCCAGTCCAGGTCGCCTGCAGCTGATGACAAGAGCAACCCAGGCCAAGGAGGTGATGCCGGGGCTGCTGGAAATGTCACATCCAGAGCTGCCGCTCTTCCTCCCAGGATGGACAGGGCTGTTGCAGGGGTGACTCAACCCTGTCTCTCTTAGGAGGACGAGAAACCCTGTGCGTGCAGGCGGAATTGTTGGGACACATGGGTCTCGGCTTACTAGCCTGTCATCTTGTCAGTCCTGAGCTCAGCCAGACCGCCTGGGGTTGTGCTCCAACTCCACCAGATCCTGTCTGTGCCTCAGTTTCCTCATCCGTAAAAAGGAGGTACCAGCAGTGCCTACCTTGTTGGCTTGTTATAAGGACTGCACTAAGTTAATGTACATATCAATAGAGCATTCATTTTATTACTGAAGTGATTGTAGTAGTCTCCTCTTATCTCTAGTTTTACTTTCTTTCTTTCTTTTCTTTTTTCTTTCTTTTTTTTTTTTTTGTACCAGGAATTGAACATCCCCAGCTCTTTTCATTTTTTATTTAGAGACAGGGTCTCATGAAGTTGCTGACAGCCTCCTCGCTAAGTGGCTGAGGCTGCCTTTGAACTTGTGATTCTCCTGCCTCAGCCTCCTGAGTCAGTGGGATCACAGGCAAGCACCACCACGTATGGCTCTGTAGTTTTGCTTTCTGTGGTCAACTGTGATTTGAAAAATATTGAATGATCAGTTCTAGAAACAAATAATGCATAAGCTTTATATTGCACGTTGTTCTGTGTAGTGCGATAAAATCACGTCCCTTCCTGTTCCAAGCTACCCTGGGTGAGAATCCTCCCTTTGTCCAGTGTATCCATGCTGTGTATACCACCTGCCTGTCACTTGGTAGCTGTCTCAGTTGCCGGACCTACTCTGTAGGAACTGCATGTAGTGCTTGTGTTCAGGTGACCCCCTTTTACTTAATGATCCTCAGCACCAGGGTGGTGACTCTGGCAATCGGGACATGCCAAGCTGTGCAGTGCTGTAGATATGGGGTTTGCTACTGCCAATGGTTTCAGGCATCGGCTGGGGGTCTTAGAACGCATCTCCCCTGGGTTGAGGGGACTATTCTATTATTATTGTTATTATATTTATTTATTATATTGTTCTTGTCTCTAAAGTATGGAACGAGGCCAAATACTCCAAAGGGGGTTCTTGCCCTTCCTGTCCTGTTTTTGGGACGCTCGTAGATGGGTGGCCCTGGGCAAGGCCCGTCCCCTGTCTGGTCCCGGGTTCTCATCTTTTGATTGAGGTGCTGAGGCTGCATCTCTGACGGCCTGAACCTATGATATAAGCATCATGAGCGGCCAGGGCGGGCTTAGCTTGCTTTCTTGGCCTCTCCCGGGGATGTTGGAAGATGTTTTCTTTAAAAATTTACCCAGAATTTAATTAAATTCCCTGCCCTTTTTGGCTTATTATGAACAACTGTTTATTTCAGCTGAGATAAACTGTGAAGTCATCAAAATAACAGTTGATATCTGCAGTGGGCTTTTAAAGTCCCATTCACTCCATGTTTACCAGACACCTTCCTAAGCCTGGATCAACGTATTCTGTCATTATTACAACCTCCAGGAAGGACATTATTGTCCCTGTAATAGAGGAAATTGAGGTCAAGGAAATTAAGCAACTTGCCCAAGAACCTACAACCGTAAACGGCAACTCCAGATTCAAATCAGAAACCCTGACTCTGGACTCTATAAACTTGGTCCCGTTGGCCTTGAACTTGACTTCTAACCCTATGATGGTGACCTGATATTAGGCCTTTACTTTCAATAATTAAAACCTCAGAATCTCATCATTGGAAGACAACAGGGATCGCCAAGTGTCTTAGTTGGGTGGCTCATAGGACACTGGGAGAAGCTGAAAGAAGTCCTGGACCCTTTCCCAGAAAAACATTCACCTGACAGCCACACAGGCACATGCACACAGATGCGCCTCAATTTCAGGGGTTCAAATCATATCACCTAAATATGTACCTCAGACTGAGAAACTCAGGTAGTTCCTCGTTTTCTGATAAACATTCACTTTTGCCCGGCTTTTCCGGAGCTGAGAACCTCCCACCTGGAGAACCTGCAGACTCTGCTGAGTTCGCCTTTGATAGTTACAAAGTCGCTGCTTCAGCTTGATTGACATTCCATGACTTTGGTTCCACTCTGCCCAGCAGATGTTGACACAGAATCAACCTCCTCTGTCTTCCTGCGACAACCCTTCATGTTTCTGAAGAGGTGGGTCACATGGTCTCTGGTCCTTCTAGGCATTAGCTGGTCCATTCTTCATAACTAGTTTCATCCATGTCCCCCTCAAATGCCCAGAATTGGGAACAACCCAGAATGGAACAATCTTTGGCCATACACTGATCGCCCTAGTGGAGGGCTCTCCCTTTGTCCTGGGTCTCATACCTCCATGAACACATCTTTAAGAGTGGATTACGTTTTTAAAACTTTATCTTATTTTGAAATATAACAACTATGGAGAGGGGCACCCACAAAAAAAAAGGACAATTCAATGAACCAAAACCAAACATCACATCTCCACCACCTAAGTCAAGTCACAGAGTATCCTCCACTTCCGCCTCATCTCAACGACCACCCTCTGTGCTCCAAAGAGAACTTCAGTCTGACTTCTCTTTTTTTTTTTTTTTTTTTTTTTTTTGAGGTGGTGGGGTAGGAACCCAGGGCCTTGTGCACGCTAGGCAAGTGCTATACCCTTCAGCTACACGACCAGCCCTTCTTGTGCTTCTTAAAAGTTTTATCACCTCAGTCAACACTATGATTTTTCGGGGTTTTGAATTTTATGTAAATACAAGTATAGGAATGGGCTTTCTTTGGCCTCTGACTTACTGACTTCACTCATGGCGTGTTTGTAAGATCCATTCATGTCGTTACTTGTAGTTTAGTTCATGCAGTGCAGCTGTTGCTGAAAATATTCCATTTGTATACATGGACTATAATTTATATTTTCTGTTGTTAATGGGCATGCAAGTTTTGGAAATGATAAACAAAGCTACTATAAATAAGTGCTTTTGTTCCTACGTGGTTCATACATGTATATATTTAGGTTGGGCAAATCTGAAAGAATCCTGCACAACTTTAACTTAGCAGATAATCTTAAACTATCTTCCAAAGGGGTTGTACTAATTTATACTTTCACCAGGTGTGTATGTGTCTCTGTGTGTGTGTGTGTGTGTTCCAATTGTTCCATGTTTTCACCAACACTTAGCCTTATTAATCCTTTTAATCTTGGCTCTTCTGGTGGTTATATATGGCATCTCCTTGTGGTTTTATTTTGCATTTCCCTGGTGACCAATGAAGTCGAGTCCATTTCCATCTGTTGGCATTTGTCGATTAGAACTTTTGGCAACCCAATACCCGTCTGACTCACACAGACTGGGAGCCAAGTGAAACAAAGTCTCTGACCTAGGATGCTATTTAGTAATCTCTCTCCTATTGACTTCAGTTGGTTTTCAGAGCAGGTCCAGATATTCTCAATTATGATGATGGATAACAATCACTCAGTGTTTCAGGCACTGAGCTGAGTGCTTGCCATGCATAATGTCCCTTGATCCTTGCAACCGGCTTAGGAGGTCAATACTTTCATTATCTTCATCCTAAGAAAGAACTAAGGTTGGGGAGGCTCAGCAACTTATCTAAGCTCTCCCAACTTAACGGTCACTAGATTCAAATCAATACCCTTAGTTGCTATGACATACTGTATATGAACAAATTTATGACTCTGAAAAGTTCTGCACTGAAAGCTTTCTTTAACACATTTTTTCAAATCTATTTGACCAACATAGATCTTAACCTCCTGAATTATGGCAATTTTTGGAATATACTATCATCCCTTGGTATCTGTGCAGGATTGGTTCCAGGACCAGTTCTACAGAGACCAGAATCCACAAATGCCCAATTCCCTTACACAGACTGGCACAGTATTGATATATAACCCGCGCGCATCCTCCTGGGTATTTTAAATCTAGATTACTTACAATACCTAAAAGGCTATAAAAATGCGAATACGTGATTGCTACACTGTATCATCTAAGAAACGATGTCAAGAAAGCAGTCTGCATGTTGAGGACAGATGCAATTTTTTTTTCCCTGAACATTTCTCTGTGTTTGGTTGAGTTCATGAACATGGAACCCAAGGACACTGAGGACTGACTGTACCTTGACACATGCTGAACCCTCTAGTCCCCGTGGCCTCCTCTGGATTTTAGTCTGGTAGAACTTTCACCGAAGGAAATTAAGTTAGCGTTGTCCAGGGATCTCAGCCTTGACACTATTGACATGGGGCTGCATCATTCTCCTGGGGGACTGTCTCATGCACTGCAGGGTGTTTAGCAGCATCCGGGTTTCTACCTGGTAGGGGCCAGTAGCATCCTATCCCCCCACCAAATTGTGGCATCTAACATTGCCTCCAGACATGGCCAACCTTCCCTGAGCAGCAGACCCCCAGCTGCTGGTCTAACCTGGCTTCTGAGTGTGGTCTCCTGTGTTCCCGGTGATCACCTCTCACCTGTCTAAGCAGTCTCAAAACTGCCCAGCATGCCAATCTATTCATAGGGAACAAGGAGCATTCTCCCACAGCTGAAAGAAAGTGCCCGCCATCTCGCATGCCGTCTTGAGTCTGCAGGGAGAACTCGTTTCAAACCTGCTATTGGAAATGAGACACCAAGAGAGGTCGGATGGCAACTCGCTGGAGGTCACAAATGCCCAGGGAGCAGAGGGCGGGCGACAGGTGCCCCTGGACAGGGGGGGGGGGGGGGGGGGGGGGTGTGTGTGTGTGTGTCCAGGGTCAGCGACCTGCTTCACATACCTTGCCCATTCCGGCGTGGGCGTGTCCCAGCTTGATCACCACCGGGAAGTGCGGGGCCGTGAGCTGAAAGAGGCAAGAGGAAATCACCTGTTAGCACCTCAGAGCATGGTCACCTGGGCTGTGGGCACTTCCTGTTCTGAAGTCAGGTTCACCCATCTGATGCTGCCCTGGGTCCCCACGGTCCTGCTTTGTGGGTGGCCATCCTGCTGCAGCTCATGCATCCCACCTGCCCGCGCTTTTGGCTTCCGAAAGAGAGCTCTGAGCTCTTCAACCAGCCTGTCTGGGGCACCCTCAACCCACAGAGACGGGAAGGTCCTTCATGTCGCTCCTGTGCCTTTGAGGTGGGTTGTTGATTTCTGGAAGTCTATTTTGGGTTGTGTCATGATAATGCCACTCCCTTCCATTTAGGTGACCTCCAGCCAGGGGTCATCACCACCCACGCTCTGGGCTGCAGATGTTCTGATACCTGTCATTGGACTGTCCCCTGGCAGAGCTGTCTGTCCTGTCACACCAGGGCACCGAGGAACCCAGCTTTTCCTCGGGGTGGCTAGTGCCTGGTCTCTCATGTCGTGGCTGCTGTCACTGCTGCAGGAGTGTCCCTATCGGTCACGAAGCCATTCTCTGGACCTCGTCCTTCCACTCCCACAGTGGCCCCGGATGCAGTCGGGAAGGCAGCTTGTTACCACTTTACAGACAGGGAAACTGAGACTCGGCTCAGCAGCTGGGAGGGGTGAGCCGAGGACTTGAACTTGACCCTGCTGGACTCCACACTTGGGGTGAACAAGCTTCCTGTGGTGGACTCCGAGTAATCCCCTCCCCCACACCAGGCTACGGGTCACCACACCCTGGTGCCGCAGCAAGCACATGCATTCAGGAGGCAAGATTTGATTCTGATTCCAAAAGCAATAGGCACAAACCAAGAAATTGGGAAAATAGAATAAAGGGGTACGTTTAAAGAAGATTATGACGATCACCCTCAGACTTCCAACGGTTTCAGTGTATTATATGTTGGTCTTTTTTTAAAAAAAAAATCCCATGATGTGTTTTTCTTTTGATTTGTTCTGTTTTTACAAAATTGGGAGTGTAGCGCCTATGCAGTTTTATTTCCTGTTCTTTCCACCTAATGTTATGTGGGAGAATGTCCCGGGCTGTTATTTGTTAGTTTAATAGGTGTTAGGAAATGCTTCACCTATGAGCAAAGCCTCCGTGACCCTGTGGTGGGCAGCACCTTGCTTAAGAAATAAAACAGAGAGGAAGCCTCCGCTCTCATTCTTTCTATCACACTCTCCCCTCCGTCCCACAGGTAGCCCACATAGGAATTCTGGGTTGATTAGTCTCTGGCATTGATTCATCGTTTTCCTATTATACATACTTCCCAAGCCATGGGTCACACGTTTTTAAGCTTCGTGTCAGTGGTACCAAAGATTCGATTGCATGTCTGTTTCCGCATGCTTGTGGGATTCACGTGCGTTCATAATGTAACTTGGACTCATTTTCCTGCTGCATGGTATTCCATTCCTTGGACACGTTGCCATTGATGCATTTTCTGCGGATGAACATTTAAGCGATTTYTGTTTTTCCAGTTACAAGCCAGACCACTGCAAACCCTCTTGAGCAGGACCTCTTCTAAGCACGTCGGGTGTTTCTCTGGGGCACATCCACAGGGAAAGAATTGCTGGGTTTGGGGAACGCTTGTCTCCACGGGGCTGGATATTGCCAGATTGCTCTGCAAAACGGTTGTACCGACTCAGGCTCTAAAGGGCAGAGAGGGAGGGAAGTCCCACTAGCGGGGATTCAAAGTCTCACATCTGACCCATCTCATCAGTGCGAGAGGCCGAACCCAGGGGTGTATTTTTATCTCGGGGCTTTTGTTACCCAGCCATCCATGGAGACTTTAAGCTCCCCGGRGAATCCAAGGACTTGGGATTTCACTCTTCTCATTTTAAGGGGGAGCTCGAGGTGGAGGGGAAATGGGTGTTCTTCTCCCTTGACCTCCACCATGGACACTGGCGTGCCAGAAGCCCTGCCATTTGCTGCTCTCTGTTTAACCTTGGGCTAGCTATTCACCCTCTCTGAACCTCAGTTTTCTGACCTGCAAAATGGGGCGGATAATGCCCAAGTCCCAGGATTGTTGGGAGGAGAGACGAGGAATGTAAGATGTCAGCTCCCGAWGACGCTAACCTGGCCTGTGAAGAGGGGGGCAGGGAGGAGATACCGTGGGGAGGTGGGAAGGGGCAGGGAGACTGGATAACGGAGGAAGGAGRGCGGAGACTGCAGCCTCACAACCTCTGATAACACTGGAGGGAAGGAACCGAAGTCACAGCCAGAAAAATCAGAAGCTCACACCAGAAGGGGCGGCCGAGGTGAAGACCCTGGGTCCGGGCGGGGGTGGGCATGGCGGATAGGGTGGGCCGCTCAACGAGGTTTCCTTTCTTTCTTTCTTTGGTAGCAGGGAATGAACGCAGGGGCACTCCACCTCTGAGCCACATCCCCAGCCTGATTTCGTATTTCTTTTAGAGACAGGGTCTCACTGAGTGGTTCAGTGCCTCCCCGTTCCTGAGGCTGGTTTTGAACTTGCRATCCTCCTGCCTCAGCCTGCCGAGCTGCTGGGATCGTAGGCGTGCGCCCCCATTCCTAGCTAAGTTTTCTTTTTTTTAAGTGACACTTTTGAATTGAATGATAATGTTAAAAGGGTTATGAAAATGAGAGGCGAGATGGTCACAGCCCCATCATTTAATCAAATCAGTATGTATGGGTCCACGCTGTTTTGTTGTCCTCATTTTTATGCCCAATTAGAAAATCCAGGACAGTCTACGATATTAGAGAGAGAATTTTACATCCACCTCATCACTTAATAGTATACCATCAGTGTTTTCCTATTTTTGCTGCAGACATATTTCTTAGCTCTCCTCCCCGCAGCCCCAGGTCACTAATCTTGCTTGTTTGGGGCATCTGATGTCCACCSGCCCATGATCACCTGCTCCCTCTTGGCAAAAGTGGCCACATGGGTGGTTGAGTGTGATTTTTTTTTTTTTTAAATAGCTCTCAAATCACACRGGGCACACCCCTCTTCCTAGTTCACGGGAGCCGTCCTAACCCCACAGTTTTATGACTGCATAATATTCCACGTCCRAACGTGCTGAAATCCTTCCGGAAGCTGCTTTCCTGGTAATGGGTGTCTGCGGGACTCGTCCTCTCTCTCCCCCTCCCCCTCTGCTCCTACAGGCAGGGCGTCTCTGGGMGCCTCTGGACGCAGGTCCTTGTGAACTTGAGCTAGTGTGTGGCTTCCTGGAGGCCAGGCCAAGAGCTTTTCTAAGGGAGACCAGCAGCATGTGGCGCTGTTCCCACTGTCAGTTGTGGGAGCTCAACAGGTGGCAGTGGGCGTGGCCTGTGCCCTGGGGAGCCCACCCAGGACGTCATCTGCTGTGCTATCTGAGTGTCAGTGAGGCCCGGGGAGGGGAGCAAGGGACCACGAGCATTAGCGGCTTTCCCTGCCCCTCGTCACAGGGAAGAAGGCGGAGGCCACCGTCGGTGCTGCCCAGGGCTACTGGGCCTTCCCCCCGACCCCCTCCCCTCCCTCCGGCTGTTGAACGGGTTTCAAAGCCCCCCCCATTTCCACCTTTTGCCACTTGCCAGCCGCTCCCCAAACACAGACAGGTCACAGAGGACAGAGCATCTTGTTGGCTGTTTTCTGTCTTCCTTTCCGGCAAGGGCTTTATTTGTTGGAGGCCAGGCCAGCCTCCCCCAGGCCCGGCCCATCACGGGCCYCAGCGCTGCCGAGTCCAGCTGCCCCTGGGGGAGGCTGGCATCCTGTTRGGGGGGGGGGGAGATCAATTTTTGAAAACAGAGATCTCCACCCTGATCAGGGCGTATTCAAAAGTCTCCAAAGAAACTGTAGTAGGTGGGGGGCCCTGTGTCCCTGCAGGGCGCTCCCTGGGCAGATCAGAGGCACAACAGTCTAAGCCCGGAGGGTGGTGGGCCACCCTCGCCCTGGAGCCCTGAGCTGGACCAGGAGGCCCTGGAGCRCCTGGCCCAGCTGCCCACCCAGGGAGGCGAGTCCCTCCGAGTCTGGGCTCTGGAGCTGGGACCGTGAGCAGTGTCTGACCCCAGCTAAGTGGCAGTGTGACCGTGTCCCCCAAGGTTCTCCTGTGGGGCCCTGGTTCCCAGTGCGCTGCTGTTGAGGTGCAGGACCTTTAAGAGGTGGGGCCTAGTGGGAGGTCACCAGGTCACTGAGGTGCTCCCTAAGAAAGGAGGACTCCGGGGCTAGTCCTCAAGAGTGGATTGTGAGACATAAGCAAGCTCGCTCCCTTCCCTCCCCTCGCTTCCTGCCTCATCCTGTGGTGGCTTCCTCTCCCATGAGATCCTGCCACTGTGATGCCACTGTCCCAAGAGCCTCACCAGAGGCCAAGCCGATGGGGCCACCYCATCTCTGACTTTCAGTTCCCCAAACTGTGAGTGCAATAAACTTCTATTCACTGAGTACYGGCCTCAGGAATTTCATGATAGTAACAGAAAACAGACCAATAAAAATAGTGATGGAAAAAGCAAAAYCAAGAAAAACTTGGAGGAATTCACTGACCAAAATCAAGGACGGAAGTCTCCCTGAAGAAGTCTGGAAGAGGTGGAGGAGGAACGGGGCCTCCCTCCGCTCAGTGACTAGGAGATGCTGCCTGATCCGGCTTTTGCCTGCCTCTTCTGTTTCCTCTTGTGCTTTTCCATCCTCCCAACTTCAACTCTTGACTACTAGTTATGTTCTAACCCACAGGCTTTTGGTTCTTTACCAAGTGGACCACGTTACCTGRAACCTCAGGACCTTTGCACATGCTGCCCTTTCCCTGAAAGACCTTTCCTAACACTCTTCAGGCCCTTCTCATACTTCACGTCTTTATTGAAATGCTCTGTTACTGGACAGCCCTCCCTGGCCACTGTTCTAAAGGAGGTGCTTCCCACTGTTCAGTATCCTGAACTCTTCCTTCATGCGCTAGTCACCAGTTACATTTAGATATTCATTTCTCTGCTCTCCTATAGGTGTTCTGAAGGCAGGAAACGGCTTGTTTTGCTAC